GTTTTGTTCTCCTGGGGGATGAGGATGGGGCGAGCCGCTCAGCTTTATGGTGAGATTCCAGAACAGACCCCTTGGCTCCTTACAGAGCAACTCACCTTCTCCCCCTTTGGACCGTCGCTGCCCGGGCCGCCCTTGGTTCCAGGATCTCCCCTGCGCCCCTGTGGAGAATGGGCGTGAGGACGAAGGAGGAATGAGGCAGCCACTTGTAGCCCTGCTCTCCCTAGGACACTGGGGAGCCTGGGCCTGGTATTCCCTCCGGGTGATATCTGCCTGGGGCTGGGGCTCTGTCTCCATACTGCTGCTGTGACAGTTTTATCCCAAAGACTCAGGACTCGGTGTGTGGGTGCTCATGGTCAGGCTGTATCCTGGCCAATGATTGGGATGTGGCTTGGACGGTCAGCATGGTCATTCCTGATCACTCCCTGACTGGGCCTCCTCACATTGTCTCTTCTCAGGGTCAGCCTTGGGATAGGATCCCTACCCCAAGGGCAGCCCGGGAGGAGCTTTGAAGGGATGGTAGTGAAAAGGCTGATTAGGAACAGAGGGTTCTGCCTACCCCCGTGCCATTTGTCAATGGCCCTTCTCCAGCCCTGCTTGCCCAAAGTGGTGCCACAGAAGAGCCCAAAGCAGGGGCCTGGTTCTGTCCGAGAGGCTTATGGTCTGTAGGTGCAGCCTAAACTCACCGGCTCTCCTTTTGGTCCACGGGGGCCAGGTCCTCCCTTGTCTCCTTTCACTCCCGGGCTTCCAGGAGCTCCGTTGTTACCTTGATATCCCTGTGTGGGGCCGGGACAATTCAGCATGGTTGGGAGTGTGGTGGGGGAATGCACGGGGCTAGTGCATGAGGGCTCCCTTAGCCGTTCTTTATCACCCTCCCGACATGTGTGAGGGCACAGAACAGAGTGGACAATACCCTGGGCAAGGATAAGCAGGCCAGCAACTCACCTTACTTCCCTTGTCTCCAGGGTCTCCTGGTGGTCCCCTGCGTCCCGGGCGGCCAGAGTCCCCCTGGAAGGGTTGGGGGTGACATCAGCTTTGTTCATGGACAGGTACTGGGCAGTGGGACAGGACCATCTAAATCCCCCATGTTCTTCAAGCACACAGGATGCCCGGCGTAAGAGGGGAAGACCTTGCCAAGATGCCCCAAAGACCAACCTAGGAGCCCAGTGTAAAGTCTGCTGAGCCTCTGAGGAAGGCGCCCCATGTGAGGCCCTGGGGACAGCAGGATTGCTAGGCAGGGACTCAAGGGAGGAAACAGCAGAAGAGGCATGGACTGGCCTCCTAGGACAAGGCTGTCTATCCTGTGACTAAAGGTCTAGGGCTACCAAGGGCAAGGGGTCCCCAGGGCCTCAGGGTGTAGGAACTGCAGTGACTAGAGCTCCCGGTCTTCACGGTCTCTGCCAGCTTGGAAGGGGAGGTGGGCAAGCTGTGCTATACGGGATCCTGCTCTGAAATAGTGAACTTAAGGACGGGACCTCCCTGCTAGGCTTCACAGCCTGGGCAGTCACCTCACCCTGATCTGAGCTGGGCATAGGGAGCCCCAAGTCAGGGATTTATGAGAGTGGTGATAGCCTGTTCTAGAACTGTATCTAGCCAAGTCCTTACCTTGGCACCTTGGTCTCCTTGCTCGCCTGGGCTTCCGGCTTCTCCAGGGTATCCATCAGGGCCCTGAGGGAGGTAAGAAAGGTTCCTGCTGAGTGCTGCCATGGGTTGACTGTGCTTCTCATGAGTCAAGAACACTGACACAGAGCGGGGACCTCAGAGCTGCTGCTCACTCAGGCTATGAGGTCCCAGCTCAAGAGCCATGCCTAAGACTGCCCTCGATGGTCATCAAAGTTTCAGAACTTCCCAGCCTAGGACCATGAGCGCCACCTGGCCTGGAAACCATAGATGTCCAAGGGTTGGCTCATGGGCTCCTGAGGGGGTGGGCTGTAACCCCAGGACCAGCAGAGCTCCAGACTGGGGTGAAGGTCAAGCAGGGAGAAGTTGGGCAGAAGAGAGAATTTGAAGACTTGCTTCCAGCCCAGCCTGGCAGTCATGTTCCATGAATGATGGACAGCAAGGATGGAGAAGTTACTCACCCGGCTTCCTGGGTCTCCCTTGCAACCAGGAGGTCCAATGCGGCCCAGTTTGCCCTGAAAGAAGAAGAAGGAATATCAGAGTATAAATCTGGGGTCTATGCACATCAGTAACCGCACCACTCAGGCCCTTGTGTGACAGGCCAGCTGCACCCTAGTCAGAGCACAGGAAGGTGAGGTGATTCCCATTTTGCTTCATTCTGTCTCCATGGAGACAGAATCCCAGGACCAGGCCAGGCGCATGGGTGTGGAATGTCCTCATCCCATGCACGTGTGTGTGTGTGTGTGTGTGTGTGTGTGTGTGTGTGTGTGTGTGTGTGTGTGGTGTTTATACATAGGTATCTGTGTGAATAGACTTAGGTGCATGTGGGGGGAGGCAGTGGCTGGCAGTCAGGGTGGGGCTGGTGACTCTACCTTCTGTCCATCAGTTCCATTCTTGCCAGCTAGGCCGGGGGCTCCCTGGAGAAGATAGAAAAGGGACTGGTTAGTCCCACTCCTTGTTCCCTGAGCAGCATGGCAGGGCACACCCATCCCTTCAGGCTTACCTTCCGACCATCTGATCCGAATTCACCCTGTGCAAGGAGGCAAGCAAAGTGTTAGCTGAGTTTCCAAGCTTCACAGACACTGTGGTCTTTGGCGTGCAAATGAAGACTCTCAGCCCCAAACATGAGGCCAGAAACCTAGGGCTGCCTCCAGGAGCCGCCAGGCTGTTATGCAGTCAGGTGGTACATCACAACCGTCCTGGGCACCATCACAACTTACCTTCTCTCCCTTGAAGCCGGGCACACCCTAAGGGCAGAAGGAAAAGACAGTGTGTTACCAAGGGCATGTCAGCAGATGCAGTGGAGCCCTGGAGAGACAGATGTGGAGGACAGCCAAGACCCAGCCTCGAGGGTGTGCACAGTGGCTGTGCCATGCCTGGAAGTCCTATGTGGGTCCTGAACACACGCTTGATAGAGGAGGGGTCAGGCTGGATATGTAGTTTTGGAGTGACCCTCAAACTATAGAGGCGTTTCTCTCCTTTGGCAACAAGGGCTGGGCTCTGGACATCCCCAAGGGTAGGGTGGGAAACTGCCCCAAACTGACCTTCCTCCACTTCCCTTGCCCCATCCTAGCCCTAGGTAGGGAACTTGCCTTGGGTCCTGGGAATCCAATGGGGCCTTCGATGCCAGGGTCTCCCTGTGAAGAAAGAATAAAGAAGCTTGGGTGTGATCCCAGCCAGCCTGGGTGCAGGGAGAGTGGTCGGGGGTCGGGTCAGGGGTCAGGGGTCAGGGGTCAGGGGCCAGAGGCCATGTGGGGACCTTACCTGTCTCCCCTTCTGTCCAGGCTCTCCTGGCTCACCCATGTTGCCCTTGGCACCCTAAAAGTAGAGGACAGGGAAAGGGGTAAATTGAGGCAAAGGAAACCCTGTTATCTCCTGGGAGAGGTGGTATGGCAAAAGCTGTTGGTCCCTCCCCAGGTGGGAACATCTTGGAATAGGGTCAGCTGCCCCTCCCCCCCCCAGAGCCCCAGTGGCCCCCACCAGGCTCTTGCTGACTCTCTTCTCTGAGTCTTGATAGACCATTCTCCATGAAGCCACACTGCAAATGGGTCAGAGCAGCTTCTCAGCTGGGATGCTGGGGCTTGGGACCTCTGTACTATAGTCCAGACCACAGTTGGCCCTGGGTGTTCCATGGGCCAGCCTGGCACTCATGGGAGCCAGCCTGGCACTCATGGGAGTTCCTCTTGAATGGGATGGGCATGGGTAAGGCATGGATTGAAAGAACTAGAAAGATTGGGGCTTCAGAAAACCACATAAGATCGGACTTCTAGGGAGCTAAAGTTTTAACTTTAGATATATATTTATTAATAAATGCACCAACTTTTTAATATCCTTCTACTTTAAATGCAAAGGGAGAGAGAAGAAGGAAAAAAATCAAGGGGCAGAGGAGAAAGGAGGAAGAGATCAAGTAAAGCAAGTGGTCAGATATCCTTCAGGTCTCAGCTGTGCTGTGCTCTGAAGTCCCTGTGGCCTAGGGACCTCCCAGGGCCTCCACTCTGCTGTGTGAGTGGTCAGATAGCCCGGGTGGCAAATTCATTCCCAGCTGTAGCAGGGTGGGCACGGCTCATGGCCAGGACTGGAAGAAGCCAGGTCAGGGAGTGGCTGGCACAGAAGACATCTCACTCAGCTACCCACTGCTGTAGAATCTCTCACGGAACTTGCAAAGAACATGAGGATGCTTCCTAACTTCCTCTCTAAGCCACTTCATATGACTGGCATCATCTCAACTCCTTCCTACCGTCCTGCTTTCTGACACACGAATTATTAGCTTCAGACACTGTGGTAGTGGAAGGGATTTGTGTTATACAGCTCTATTGTTAGGTAAAGGCCTGATAACCATTCAAAGCAGAGTCCTCCAAGCCTAGAATTAAATAAACCTCCAAGTGGATGCCTCATATCAATCAGCAATCACGCCATTGACAGAATGGTACCGTGTGTGTGTGTGTGTGTGTGTGTGTGTGTGTGTGTGTGTGTGTGTGTGTATTTCCCCACATGAGCATGCTTGCTTACTTCATAAATGTATTTTAAGTGGCATATCTTAAAATTTTTTAAATATTTCCTACTTTCCTCAAAATACCATTTAAAAGGAAATGGATAAAATCTGAAGTTTAGGTTTTCCAAGTTTGGAGGCACTGAGGCCATCCATCCACAGCCAGCTGGCCTTCAGTGTGGAATTCCCACAGGTCAGGGGATTCCTGGAGCATGAGCCGTGCGGTCTCCAGGCATCTTACCTTCTGTCCGCGGTAGCCCTTGGGTCCATGGGGCCCAGGAATCTCCAGGCAGCTCACTTTATAGCACTGAAATGAGGTGGACAGACAGCAGGTCAGGTTGGTAGGACAAGTCCCCAGTTGGGTATGACCTGGGGATAGGCAAAACCTTGGACTCTCAGAGGAAGTCCCCCAACACCCATAGAGACAAACAGAATGGAATGAAGGACCATACACACAGGGTACCAGACAGGTGGGGGCCAGTGCTTAGTCAAATCATCCAGCCAGGCTTTGGGTAAGCGAGGCTGTGATAAACAGTGACAGACAGCAACAAGGACCAAAGAGCTCTGGTCACGGGTAGGCACCATCTGTATACGGGGACCAATTTGCCATTCTTGAAAGTAGCTGCTCTATAATGGCATGTTTCTGCAGAAGGAGCAGGGCGGGACTTTGGGTACCCAAGGCTACATGTAGGACCCCTAAAACAGGTACATGGCTTGCAGTCTGGGTTGGATTAAAGCCCCCACCCCCAGTTTGGGACATGACGCAGCTTCTACAGAAGTCATGTGTTTGGTAGATAACCCTAGTTCCAGCTCCCAGGGGACTAAATGGCCTGGGTTTGACTGGGGATGGATTAGGGCTTCACGCAAGCTCAAGAGTGTCAGGCCCCACAGAGCAGGTGGACCTCGGTCCTTCTGCTGCTCTGGTCTGCTCGAGGCCCTGGGAAACCAGGAGTGAGGCGTTGGTCCTCTGCTGGGTCAGCCGTCTTGGTTGCCAACAGGTAGCAAAGGCTGGGCTGTAGTGACAGAGCAACTCACCTCTCCGTAGGCTTCATGTTTCTGCAGAAAAGAAAGAGACCAGATTAGCCTGAGCCTGGGGACGTGTGTGGCCCTTCCTGAGTCTGGGTGGGGATCGTGGGGATGAGAGGACTTGATCCTAATCTCCCTCAACTGCCTTACTCACAGGGGGGATACACTGAACTCTGACTGTTGCCCCACTGGTGAGTGGACCACACCCCTAATCTCTGCCCTGGCCACAGCTGCTCACCATGACCTTGATGATGCGGTTGATGGTGTCCTGGTCAATCTCGGTAGAGTCGGGCCTCATGGTGGCATAGTTGTTGCGGTAGAGCTCATGTGGGGTGTTAGCGATGTCCCTCAGGCCTTGTTCATTTAGGTTCCTGTTAGGGGCCACGGCAAAGAGCCGGATGCCCTCCTCGCGGGCACGCTCAGCCTGCATTTTAATGCCTCCACACGGATTGCCCGTGACGTGGCCGTCGGTGATGACCACAGCAAAGTTGACCACACCTCGGCCGACATGCTGCCGGATCTGCTGGGTCATGTTGGCCAGGGCACAGTCAGTAAAGGTGCCTCTGCGGAAGGAGCGGATGCCTTGGAGGCTCTTTGTGAAGGAGGCCCGGTCGCTGCTTGGGGGGCTGAACACCTCCACCTGGTCCGAGAAGTGCAGACCACCGTAACGCCAGCTCAGCGCCACCTGGTCCAGGTAGAATTCATTCTGCAGCTGGCTGATGAACTGAGGTACGAACTGCTGCATGTGATAAAGTAGGCTGTCTGTGGGAGACTGCATGGCCACGCTCTCCGAGGTGTCCAACACGAAGTACACATTGACTGGGCAGTCAGCCTTCTCTGGGGTGGGGCGACAACATTGAACCCGTCAAGGCTTGCCAAGTGGGGGCTATAATGTGAGTCCACCCTCACCCTATGAATACCACTTCTCTCCCAGGACTCCAGAGCCCCACCCAGGTACCTGGACAGTTGTTGTTCCTGTCAATGATGGAGGGGTCAGGTGAGATGACTTCCTGCTGCTGAGCACGGAGGACTCCTAAGATGCCCCCAAGCAGGAACACAGAAAAAGAACCCTGGAACATCTTGATAGTAGTCATGTGCCCTGATGTCCTGCAATAAAAGCAGGGACCATCACAGACACCCCCACAAATATATTGCTGTCCTCCCAGGGTGGGATGCACGTATCTGGTAATTCCTTGAGCAAACAGGGGCCTCCGTGACCCATGTTGTTGCCCCCACCCACAGGGAAGTTGTGCCTCTCCAATTCCCTGTTGGCTGCAGGGCTCGGTTCTAGGCTGGACTCAGACATTCTTCCCTGATCTCTGGGGCCAGAGTACACACAGAAGGGCCCATTTGAATGGGTTGGAAACACCAGGGAGCAGTGTCTCTTTACACACTCCACTCCAGGGCCTGCAGTGGGAACAGGACAAGGGGGAAACAGGCCCACTTCACTCAGTGGGAAGGTCCTAGCTTCAGTGTGGGACCCTGGGCATATCCCTCTCCCTATAGCCTGATCCCCCTTCACATGGGGCATTGGCATGGACTGAATCACACATTGATTTTTTAGTATGACTTTCCACCAGGTGCCAGCAGGCTGAGGGCATCTTGTTCCCCTCTGTGGGTGCAGCAAGACCACTGGAGAAGAAGCAACACAGACTCTCTGGAGCAGGGGTGGCTGTGCTCCTGGAGAGACTCTGTCCCAACTTGTTATCTGGGAAATTTTCTTCGATCAGAGAAGTACTCCAGATTTCAGATGTTATAGTGTTTTAGTTGGAAAATAAGTAGAACCATTGAACAGCATACTTGATACTAAGGATGGGAGGTATCAGGTATTACACATACTTGTAATCCCAGCATTTGGGAGTCCAAGACAGAAGCCACGAGCTCAAGACCAGCTGGGCTACATAACATGATCCTATCTATCTCAGAAAGAAATGAAATAGACTACACACAAGTGTGGTAGTTTGAATGTAACTGGCACCCATAAGCTCATAGGAAGTGGCATTATTAGGAAGTGTGGCTTTGTTGGAGTAGTTATGACCTTGTTGGAGGAAGTGTGTCACTGTGGGGGTGGGCCTTGAGGTCTTCTATGCTCAAGCTACGCCCAGTGCCACAGTCCACTTCCTGTTGCCTGCAGATCAGGATGTAGAACTTAGGCTCCTTCTCCAGCACCAGGTCTGCCTGCACACCACCATGTCCCACCATGATGATAATGGACTGAACTTCTGAAACTGTGAGGTACCCCAATTAACTGTTTTCCTTTATAAGAGTTGCTGTGGTCATGGTGTCTCTTCAAGCAATAGGAACCCAAACTAAGACAATGAGCATCTTAGAGGTGCTAAGAATAAACAAGGGACAGAGAATGGATCGCGAAAAAGTGAGCATCATTGGAACTAAAAAGGCAGGTGGCTTTATAAGAAACAGAGATGACAGAGTCGACCTTGTGTTGGAGATCATGAAAACCCATCATTACCAGGAATACAGAATTAATTAGGCACACCCATGTGAAGTGGACCAGTTGGGAAATCTAACTTGTAATGAAAAATTTAAAATAACCCACTTAAGAAAAAAAAAAAAAAGAAAGAAAGAAAGGGCAACAACAAATTTCAGGAAACACCTAAAGGAAAAATAACTGTCCCAAGACAACCTCTAATTTCCACCTCCTGGTGTTTCTATGCTTACAAGGTCTTCTCACATCAAATCACTGCTGGACTTCAATGGAATGATGGTGCAGCTTCTAAGATGAGGTCTGTGCTTATGATCTCAGCACATGGGAGATGGAGGCAAAAGGACTGAGAGTTTGAGGCAAGCCCGAGAAATATAAAAAGCCTCCATCTCATAAACCAAAACTCTAACCACAAACACTCTGATGGACGGTTACCAGGTGGGCATGACCTTAGGCCTGTCGTGTCTTCTGATGAAACGAGCCTCCCCATCAATATGCAATGTCCTTCTTCGTCTCTTCCATGTGTTTAAAATTTAGGGTCTGCTTTGTCGTATGTTAACATAGCTAGCCCTTCTTTTTCTGGCTGTTTGTATTGAACATCATTTTCTGTTCCATCACTATTTTTTTTTTCTCTTTAGATCTAAAGTGAGACTCTTGTAGAGAACACGGGACTATTTTGTTTTTTCTAAGTCCATTCTGCCAATCTCTGTTTCTTAATTGTGGATTTTAATCCAATTTCACTGAAAGTAGTTACTGACAAAGGTGACCTCTGTTTTGGCATCCCTTGTCTCTATACCTTGCACATTTGTAGTCTCTATCTTTTTGTATAACTGTCTACATTTGTGTTTAGTTGATTTTTAGTTGTAAAATGTTTAAATACTCCTCTCATTTCTTTGGTATTTGTTTATTCTTTCCTGGTAGTTACCCAGGAAACTGTATTTTGCTTCCTAAAAATTGAAACTGTTTCAATCCGTACCACGTTAATGACATAAACATTCTCTGCCTTTAATATCTCTGAGACCATTCCTTTCAGTTATCAGTGTCACGAAACTCCATCCTGGGGCTGGAGAGTTGGCTCAGTGTTAGGAAGGTATACTGCTCTTGCAAGAAGACCCAAGGTTAGTTCCCAGCATCCATGTTGGGCAGCTCACAACTTCCTGTATGGAACTCCAGCTGCTGCAGGGGCCTGATGCTCTTTTCTGGCCTCTGTGGGCACCTACACTCACATGCACTCACATGTGTTTGCACACACACAAACACACACACACACACACACTCACACACACTCACACACACCCCATATAGACAAATAAATTTTAAAACTCCATTCTCTTACAACTGTTTCTTGGTATCTTAACAGTTGGCTCCAGGACCTGCAATAGATACAAAAATCTGATGCTCAACTCCCTTATATAACAAGCTATAGTATTTGTATATAATGTATGTATATCCTCCTATATGATGAAATCATCTCTAGGTGGCTGTTAATGCCAAGCACAACAGAAATTCTACATAAATACTTGTTATACAACATTTTAAAGGCACTGACAGGGAGTAAAAGGTCTGCAAATATTCAGTACAGACACAATTTTATTTTCAATCTGTGATTGATTGAATTTATAGATGTGAAAAAGTGAATACAGAAGGCTGACCATATATCATTTAAAAACATAACTAATATACATTAAAAATTTCATTTTTTCATTTCAAGTTTTATTTTATTTTATGTGGATGGGTATTTTGCAAGTATGTATGCATGTGCACTACATGTGTGCCTGGTGCCTGAGGAGGCCAGAAGAGGGTTTCAATCCCCTGAAACTGGAGTTACATACTGTGATGATATGCTGTGTGGGTGCTGGAATCGAATCTGGATCCTCTGGAAGAGCAGCCAGTGCTCTTAACCACTGAGCCATCTTTCCATCCCTATGACTAACATTTTAATATACTAGTTTCTTAAATATATAGCAAAGAAACTTTGAAATTACAAATAAACATTGTAATACTAGCTCTTAAAGTAACAATTGTTCTCTGTAAAATGTATTAGCTTTTCTAAATCATGTAGAAAACAAAAACTGGAGCTGCCCTCCATTGTTACAATAGCACTGGCTTTTAGCAGTTGCCCATATATTTTCCTTTTCTGAGATATTTATGTTTTCTTATGGCTTTTAGATTGCAATTGTCTATCATTCTTCATATTAACCTTCAGGATCTCCCTTAGCATTCTTCTCTGGACAAAAAGAGTGCTGATGAACTTCCTCAGCTTTTGTTGATCTAGTAATGTCTGTTTCCCCTTTATCTTCAAAGAACAGTTTTGATAGTTACAGCCTTCTTGGTTGGTGGTATTTTACTTCCAGCACTTTGACTATATTAACCCTTCGCCTCTGGACTCAAACTTCATTAAGAATTCTACCAGTAAACTTATCAAGGCTCCTCTGTGTTGGACAAGTCATTGTTTTTTACTGCCTTCAAGGTAAGATCTCCATGAGTAAACTGGGGATGAGGGGGGCGCAATGGAGGGTAGGGGGTAGAGGGTAGGGGATGAGAACATAAGGGAAGTGGGAACATAGAAAAATAAAGTGGGGGATAAAGTTTCAGTCCTTTAAGTACTTGGGAAGTCACTTCATCCAGAGAGGAAGAGGACTGCAGCCAAGGGAGACACAATAATGCTCAGGCAATAGCTTTGCCAAGATAGGAATCTTAAAACACACCCTTTTAGATCCCAGGGAAGTAAGGTTAGATATTAGTAACAACGGGAAACTGGGAAACATCACAAAATTGTGGAAATTCAAATTCATGCTCTTAAAGCAACCCACAAATAAAAAAATGCAAGGGTGTTGTGGAATGTTAGTTTGGGATGTGTTACACTCATTTATGCTGTGGAATATTTGTTTAATGATGCAAAGATGTGTTGCATTCTTTTGTGTTACATTTCCTTAACTCTGTGAAGCTGTGTTACTTTGCCTGCCTAAAACACCCGATTGGTCTAATAAAGAGCTGAACGACCAATAGTGAGACAGGAGAGGGGTAGGTGGGTCTGCAAGGCAGAGAGAATAATAGTAGGAGAAGAGGGAAGGAGTGAGAGAAGGAGAAGGAGAGAGGACTCCAGGGGCCAACCACCCAGCCACCCAGCCACCCAGCCACCCAGTCACACAGCCACACAGCCACACAGCCACACAACCATACAGCCACACAGCCACACAGCCACACAGCCACACAGCCACACAGCCACCCAGTCACCCAGCCA